GTCGGGCAGGGGGCGACGGTGATAGTGCCGGTCTTTTTGTCGATTGCAAAATGTTCCGCGCCCTGGCCGAGTAATTGATAGACTATGCCGGCGGTACCAAAGCTGCGAAATACAGAATCGTGACGTGTAAATAAAGCAAGGAAGTCGCGCTTTGAAGTCTCATGGAACAAAGCGCTGGAATTAACGAGCCCTTACCGTCCGCTATCACGATCCTTTGCTGTGATCGTTATAATTGGGCTCCCCGGGGCCGCCATTTCGGACACCATAGCCGTGTACGTCGGGTTGCTGAAGGAAGGTGCATTATCGTTTGCATCCGTGATGGAAATCGTTACCGTTGCCGTGGATGAAAGCTTTGGGTTCGTGTGAACTTCCTCGGCGACAACCTGGAAACCATAATTGTTGCAGCGTGTTTATTTTTCACACAGTTGGAGAAATAAATTTGCAATTCTTATCAGCTTATTTGTTTAATTATGAAAAAGAGAAAGAGAAAAAGATGATCTGATAGCATTATAATTATTGCACATAAGTATATCAAATGATTAAAAAATCAATTTTTTCTACATGGAATTATTTTTCTTTTGGGAAAAATAATTCTATTTATCTACTAGAAAGTATCTAGGAAAAAGGCACAAAATTTCCACAGTTGACTTACCAAAATAATGAATTTTCGTTGATTAGGATTTTCATAGTCGAGCGAGCCGTTTGTAACGCGAATGTTCACAGACGTGCTGCCGGTCGCCAACACCGGCTCCACAGTAAACGCACCCGTTATATCTTCCAGACGCAGGGAGAACACGGAGTTTAAGCCCTTAAAGTGGAGAAGCGGTTTTATTCTCTGCCGCGAGCGAAATAGAATCTCTCTCAACCAAAAGAGCGAAATGAGACGTATGCACGTAAATAACGAGAACGTGGTAACGTTTATGCCGACCGGCGATCGATATGACAAACTGCGACGAGTAATGATAATTTGAATTTTATCCAAGCTTTATAATGTATTATGAATTATTTATACTTGACGTTTCCCATTTACGCTGCCATTAAAACGCGGCATTAATTTAATAAGCGGACCGAATTAAATGCACGCGCGCACTATAAAATCGCGCGATGCCTTTCCGTGCATCGCCATTGTTGCGGCATATACACGTTGTTGAGCTTTACACAGAAACTCGAATACATTAATATGAATGTCGCGTTAACAAGCGTTTACCGTGTATTGGATTTTTCTCTTGATTTTTCGACACGGCAATAACTAATGCATTTGCATCGAATCGTACACCGCGTTGACGAACAGATACAGCAGCATCAGTCCCATTTTGCTCGACTGGACGATCGTAGAGAGTGCATCAGATGACGCACGACAGATAATAGGATAAATCGACGTGCACTCACAACATCCGGATCTTTCACCGTCATGTCCAGATGCGGTAGTGGCGTACCGTCCGGCACGTTTTCCGGAATCTCGATGTTGTACTCGCGCCGATTAAATGTGGGCGGCTCATCGTTGACGTCCTTAATCGTCACGGTCGCTTCGGCCGTCGATACCGTCAATTTGTCGTTGCCGGGCATACCATCGATCAGTTCGCGGGCCTTTACGATCAGCGTGAGCACGCCCGTGGAATTCTCCAACGCCTCCCGGTCCAACGGCTTTGCCGTCCTCAGCTCGCCCGAATCGTCATCCAGTAGAAAGTAATCGAACGGGTCTACAAACATAGACATTGAAATCGTGATTTAAAAACTTATTTATATAAGAGAAGAAGCTCATGAAATTTTTCATATTTATAATTTCTCAAAGGCGAATCTTTTTACTATTAAAAATTTATGTTAGATATTTTGAATTTATTATTAATATATTTTTAAGCATTGTCATTATGTTTAACATGCGTTTACGTATATGGACAAAAATAAAATTATAAAATTATAATTTGAATTTAATTTAAATGGAATTATAATCTCATATTATGTGATATATGGAAGAAAGAAAAGATTAGACTCACTAGTGACTAATTCGTAGATCATCTTCCGCGGCATACCCCTGTCGCCGTCTCGGGCCTTTACGGTCATCACGAGGGTCCCGATGGGATCGTCCTCGCGTACTACACCTGTTAGCGAATCCAGAAATTCCGGCGGACTATTCTGAATATCCGCTACCTTGATCTCCACGCCGGTGGTTCTATTGTTCAGGCCGTCCTGCGGACAAAATTCGCACGTTCGGTCGTCGCTCGCCTTCTCGTGGGATCGAGTGCAGAAGCTATCTCTCAGCTTTTACAAAATCTAATCTGCTTTGTATTCTCAACTCTTGATTACATTCCTTTGAATCATAGATTCATCTTTAAAACGTAATTTTTAGCAAGAGTATTTTTAAAAAATCAATTTCTGTTGATTTTATTAAATAATAAACAAAAATACTTGTCACATATTTGTAAAACAACTTTACTTTGTTACAGATAAATATTATCTTCAAACTCCCCCGGAAATATTATCTTCAAACTTACAAAAATATCAATTCGTCACTAATATAAATTAATATAAGAATGCACCGAAAAAGATTGTATTTTAAAACTTGGCGCCCATTTCTCGAAAATTTAATTTGTAGAAGTTAGTAACCCTGCCAAGTTATATTTCCCTAATGTTGAGAAGGCAGCCCTTGAATTCGTAACTCCCTTCAGTTTGCTTTACGTTTCCCGCGTATTACGGCCATGGCGTTAAACGCGTTTCCCAGGAGAGCGTAAAAATTTCAATCGGAGTTTTAGTTAGCGTATATTTTGTTGAAGTATATCCTCGCGTGATAACTTTTGACAATTTTTCGAGAGGATCCATTATATAAACCAGTGAGACAGAGAAAAAAAATGCGGGGTTTATCCAATTCCGAGTGAAATGAGGTTCAGACGAGGTAAGCGTCTTTTTAAACAGTTATTTTTAGCGACGATTAGCGAAGATTCGCGAAAATAACGGACCTCCTAATATAAAAGAAGCATGAAAAGTTAACCGGTCTCTCATTTCGACGATTTATCTCATAATCGCGAAAACTTTCAGTCGTATTAACGTGTGTCTGCTTCGCGCGTTTTTCACATCGTCGCCGTTATAATGACACCCGCTATCGCGCGCGAAGCCATCTTCCCTTGCACGAGGACGATAGTTCAGTCGCTTCCGGAGAGAGAACGCGTAATTAAAATCAATCTCCGCCCTGCGCGCTCGCACATAAAGAGCTTTCGTCGTCGCGCGACGTGTCGCAAGTGACTGCAATTATCTCTTTATACGTGATATCTCGCACACACGTGAATACGCGAGGATGGCGTCCCGAAATGGAGCGCGCGCGCGCTTACGCGACATTGATTAATTAACCATCCTTACCGCTCTCCTCGCTTATCCTAGAGAAAAATCTAAAATTTTCGCGATTTGTTTTTACATATTGGGGTCAATCTTTAAATTCTGTTTCAAATTCTCCACTTTCAAAAGATTATAATACTTTTCATATTTTATATACGAGATACATATTCTCTTCCGTGTTTAGTATTATACAGAATATTGAATTCAAATATAAATATAAAAACTCTCCGTCCCCCCGTACTCGTCGAAGTCGTAAAGACTTGCTTACGAATTATTTCCATTTGTCTAATATGAGGCTTGTATACAATGTCAACAAGAGAGACGCGGATCAGATCGTATTTAACGCTAAATGCGCGTTCGAATGAGAAAACATGCCATTACGTTGCACTACGGTACGGACAAATATTTACTGTTTTTCTTCAATTTTGCGCTATATTTCTCAGATAAATTGCGGAGAGAGGAGAATAGCGCGAAATCGATGTACGGAGGGGTAAACTGCATCGATCATATGAGCACGTTCGCGGTGTAAGACCTAAATAAGTTCAATGTTTACCGCTTTATCGCGCGCGTGATTCGTTTTGCGAAAATTCATAGTGAATCACAGTTCGTTTTTTTTTTTTCATCAACATCGGTTACGCGAGCTTAAACTTTTCCACGCACGTCTCCATGTAGGTATTTTAACGTATCGAAACGCGATTCACGACGTCGACAGAAGAATCAAAGGGCAACCGAGATAACTAAGGTTTCCGATTTCCACCGATGCCGCACCATCTGCCTTTCATCTCTAACCCTTTGAAGTCACGTAAATTCGATAGTGTTCGGGCTCGCGTTCATTTTCAATAATATGAAGCCTTCCCTTCGAAACCAAAATCATGCTTCGGCTAAAGCTTACGTATTCGGAGAAAATTCAGGTAAAAAAGAAATCAAGTATCAACGAATACAATTTGTTAACTGGAATACGCGTATATAGAATAAAAAATATTTTTCAATGGTCGTTACATGTATATAATTGTATCTATATATCGTACAACGTCCGATGATCGTTTAACGCTACCGTGAGAATTGCTCATTTCACCATTGAATGGATGATCGACGCTTTAATAAGCCCGGCCGAGATATCGGACGAATCTATCCGACGTCGCACTATCCTCGTTCTCGTTAGCACGCAAATTCGTTCGTATATCCGGAATTCAGGCGCAACCTCACAGCGTTACGGCTTGCGCAGCATCCCATTATGAATAGATTTAAGCTGTTTACACGCTGTATATATGTAACGTCACGTTACGTTAAATATTCTTGTACGAATCTCAAATGGAGCGATACATTAATCGTCACGGAAACGAATGATCGCATTTAAAGCCCATGTAAGAATATTTGACGTTACGTTAACAGGAAGATGACGTTATATATAGCATGATGCATCCAGCTTTATTCGGTACGTTGCGAGAAGCTTCTCCTCTCGCGCGTAGCCGTATAGCATAATTAATATTGATTCTCGCAAATCTTTTTTCTCTTCGCTGACACTCACGCTTGCCCGCAGCAGCAGCTGGTAGAAAGGTCTCTCTCGATAGTCGAGGGGCTGACGCAGCACCAGGGCGCCCACATACGTATTCTGGCTTTTCTCGACGTTGACGATGCCAAACTTCTCGCACGCGTCCAGGAACTGCAATAAAAGTCGATCGTTAAATGGCAGTTGGACAGGGAACGACAGCGGTACTTCACATTCCCGAACGAGACGACTCTAGCGGCGCACGAAAAGTGGGACACGTCGGTAAGTGTTTGTGAAATGTTCATTAACAAACGTCTAGCCTTAATTAACCAATTTATCGTTCGGTTACGATCCATCTAAAAGTTACGATCTCTTGTGACTTCAATAACTTTTTTTATATACAAATGTTTCAAATGCTCAACAATGACAAGACATTTACAATATTTCTAAACGTTTATGACAAGTACAAAAACTTATTAATCTACAAAATCTTATTCTATCGAGTTGGATTATTCGGAGAGTTCGATAACTGTATAATATAAAGATTTTATATGAAAAATGTTATATAATAAATTCCGATCTGAAAACACACAGGGGTAAAAAAACTATTAAAAAGATTATTGCAGAATTATGAAGTAAATATATACAATTCTCATTGTATACGTAGTGTATTGATTTCAATATGTTCGATACTATTCACGTCGAGTTTAAATAAAAAAACATTTTATACCGATAGACGTATCTCTAATTTATAATGGATTTGTGGCAAATCTGTTAATTATTCTCCAAACGTCTCAATTACTGCATTACCGCGGATCATTAATGGAAAATTTTATTGTTGATTCGCGGATAATTCGCACGCGGATGTAACCCCGAACACTGTAAATATTAGTTATATTTAATGACTGGAAGCAATCGCGCGTTGTTCGCGCGTATAACGAAAACGGAGCATTAAAGTGTGCCGCCGTAAAGCCGTCAGGCCATTAGTTAAAAGGTTTTACGGTTTTATTGGTCGCGCCTAACGGCCCCGAGCGAAATTTATCGAGCGGATATGACGTAGAGTGAGAGGGAAGGGAAGAGGAAGTGGTGCGTTGTACGTACTAATATCCCGTCTTTTGCGGAAAGGGGTGAGAGCGGGAAGAGAGAGAGAGAGAGAGAGAGAAAGAGATCAGAAGGTTGCAGGTAGATAATTTTAATGGCTCGCGAGATGATATACGAATCGGACCCTTTTTGCGGGATCAGGAAAAAAAAGGCGCGCGTGCGATACATTGCGCCGTTTTTCCCGTCGACCGAATTCTCGGGGCTTTCCTCCGTGCCCTTTTGCCGATGCGAAACGAACTGCGCGCATCGCATAACCGATTGCGCGCTATATCGATCGGATCCCGAGCAGAAAGCAGTTTTCAACGGCACTCCTCCACGGTAACACGTTACAAGTTTCCGTAAATACGATTTTCGGGCGTGACGTAAATTTTATGGACTTTCCGTTGCGCTCTGCAACGGAATAAGAACTTATTACGAGATGTTTTATTAGACATTCGCGCGCAAATAGAATCTCTGTTCTATAAATAAAATATATGAAAGTTTTATATTTTTGTGAATGTACACTTGTATCTTTCGAAAAATATAACAATTTTTTGGAGATATCTGCTCCCTCTTTCTCACATTGGCGACTTGAAATTTAAAATCTAAACGCTATTCGTATCTTCTTTATGCACTTAAATGATTCCAATGCACACACGATATTTAACGATATTTATATGGTACACCATATATCGTGAAATGGCACAGTCAGAAACGATATCTAAATATCTACATCTCCAATTACGTAAGGCACTATAAGGTACTGAAAGCATAAAATCTGTTGTAAAATATAACATATAGCGGCGATTACGGAAAAGTACTGAATTGAAATTTTCCTACGCAACAGCGATAATAAAATTTCCGCTTGCGCGAAACGATTAAATTTGCGAATGCTTCGTTATATGCGCTACGAGGTCCGCTCGTTTGTGCGAAACGGGCCAGGTGTTTTCCGCGGGGGTTAACATCGGCCTCCGTAGCGATGATTGCGAAAGTCCGACTAGGAGAATCTAGCGGTGGATGGTTTGCCACCGTCGTCGACGAGACTTGGGCTCCCTCGGGCGTACTGCTCGACATTGCCAGGCTAGGCAAAGCGAGGCAAACGCGGAGCCTCCGGGTTTTATTTCTCTCTCTTTCTCTCTAAGTTTATCACAGGACAGAAGCGCGGAGATAACTTAATGGAAAACTGCGAATTACAAAGCGCCCCGGCAACGGTGCCGATATTCCGCCTCGTCTCGCGGACAAGGAGAATGCTTCATCCGAGGCGAGCTGTTCTCTTCATTTACGTGAAATACCGGCGAGCTTGTACATCTTTTATCCACCCTACAACCAACTGCATCGTAACGAAGGACGCCGCGCGCCGGTGTGCAACAGCACACACCGATCCTGATACTGCATCGCGTCGTAAAGGAGCCGAGAGGACTTCTTAATAAACCTCTTGAACGGAAAAAGCAGTAGTTCATTCTTTTTACAATCTGCTTATTATCCGCTTTTTACCGATAAATGCGATATCGGATGAGATAATAAAGGCAAATTCGGAGATTCTTTTTTCTCGCTTTTTTTTTCTTTCATACATTGATTTGCAGCAATTCGTACATAATCGACATCCCGATAATTCTCTTTCGTCTATTATTGATAAAACCGAGTTACTTTGTGATAGAATGCATAATTTAATCGATAGAAGAACAAGAAACCCCCAACCAGATAAATAAATTAAAAGAAATTCCACGAGAGAGAAGAAAAGTTTTGTCAGAAAATAATAATTTACTGGTTTTCGAAAATAAAGAGAAACACGCGCATTAGCAGAGAAATTGTTATACGAATTCACGAAGGGAATGCCAGGTCCTATTACGTCTTTATTTCATCACCGACGAGGAAGAAGAAAAGCAAGAGAAAAAACTTTCGTTTCTTGTCGGGCGCGTGCTACTTCGTAAAGATACCAAGAACAAATACTGTTGTTCTTCGGATAATACCGTCAACGATTGGACAATGAACGAGAAAAGAGAGCGTTGATGCGTACCGTCGACTGACATTTTCCTCGAACGGAAACCTCAGAGGGAGAGGGAGGGGGAGGGGGAGCGACAAGAAATTCAGACGGACAACATGTAAAAATATCCTTCACGGAACATTACCGCGTGCTCTAACAAGAATTAATGATTCACCTGTGGCTGCGGGACACACGTTAGATCTATAATGTCGCCCAGCAGGTCAGGATCTACGACCCTGATCCCCGGTAGTATGGTGGAGCCGACCGGGGTATCCTCCTCGGCGATCGCCTCGTACGGCACACCCAGAAAGTGCGGCGGATTGTCGTTTTCGTCCAACACGATCACGTACGCGTCCACGCCAACGATGTTTGGCTGCTGTCCCGCGGGCACTTCATCCTCCAGAGTTACTCGGAAACGTATCGTATCGTTCTCCTGGAAAGAAAAAAAGAGGAACGCGTGATTAATCGAGTTCTGTTTTAGAGCTCGTAATATCATCATTTTATCAAAGTTCGCGACTTTCAGTTTAAGAGGATTAACTATCGATGCCATTAACTTCATACATATAAGAGTTAATGCTTGGAGCTTTTAGTTTTAAGCTCGAAAATGTTGACGATATTTACAACTTTTTACAATACAATTTATCAAAGTTCAGTTTAAGAGGATTAACTATCGATGCCATTAACTTCATACATATAAGAGTTAATGCTTGGAGCTTTTAGTTTTAAGCGTTTTAAGCTCGACGATATTTACAACTTTTTACAATACACACA